GAATTAATTAAGAGATAAGAATTGCAGTTACACAAGTCTCAAATTTCGTTGCGATTGGAATGCGCCACTATTGGATAATGTATCAGTTATAAAAATTTTGTCACACAACCCAAAAGAGTAGCGATATGCTCATCACTTGTTTAATATTGAGAACTCACTGCTTTAATTAGGATAAATTTGTACGGCATCTAACTCTAGATGCAATTGGTGTGCTGGGTGTTGTGGAAGTCAACAATTTAGTAGCAATACATATAGTCCACTGGTTAAGAGATTTAGTCTAGTAGCTCGGAAAGGGTAAAAAAAAGAGCAAAAAATTTTGTTTGCATTGTTATCATATAGAATTGTCAAGTAAAGGCTTCATAAACATGATACATGATACTTATTTCCTAAGAATTGTATTCAACTGAAGTTGAAAATGATGAATGTATTAAATGAAACCATCGTAGCAATCACTAGGTTGACTTGTTATTGAATATTGCATAATATGAGGAGGTTAGAGGCTTGGTAGTTTCTTTTTATACTAATTTCAATACTCCCGAAAAAATGAAATGAAATAGTTCATTAATTTATTCAAAATATTCATTAATCATTAAAATTACTCAATTTAGGATCACAAATATAATATTTCTATTAATATAATGATATCATCTTGTTGAAAAATAATTTAAAAGAAATTATTCAAAAGTATTATCTTTTGTAAACATTAACTTGATGTGGTAGAATTTTCAATTCTTTTGTGTTAGAGAATGGAGGAAAAATAACCGGATAACTTCAAAATAGTAAACATATTGATAGAATATAATAATTGAGTAAGATATTGATATGAATTAATTTGATTTGTATTACAAATAGAAAAAATTAAAGAATTGTTTTTTATTAATAAATTAATTAAAAGTAATAGAAATGAATAAAACCATTGGTCTAACAACTGATGCTTATTAACAAAAGATAGTTGAATGCTTCGAAGTGGTATAAAATCAAATAGAAGTAATATTAAACAATTAACTAGACTTCTTTCAACAAAATCTACTCTTATTTAGATTCACTTCTTAATAATACTTCTGATTTATTAAATATCAAGACCTTTGAAAATCAACCTTGTGCACCTAACTTTGACTTACCAAAAGCTAAATTTGAGAATACAAACTTTAGTTAATAATTATGTTAAGATGTATAACCATTAATCAAACATAATCTTAGCAATTAAATAATACTCAAAGATTAATCATTAAATGAGACATAAACAAATAAAGAGATACAATCACTCACTAATAAATCAAATATGAAACCATTCATTTATCAACTAATCTCACAATATTCAATTAAATAATTTGAATGGTGTTGTGCAATAACTATTAATAAAGATTGCACAACATTATTGGCTGGATGTGATAAACAAATTAAAGTATATGAATTCAAGTAAGGAATGGCCAAACAAACTCAAATTTTAAGTGAACATAAGTCTCGTGTGTATACTCTAAACTTCATGAAGAAATCAAATTAGTTTATATCTGGGAGTTGTGATAAATCTATTATTATATGGTAATAAAATTAAAATAATTAATGGATTTCCTAATACATATTAAATGGACATACCAATATTGTTTATTGTTTAATATTAAACAATAATGAAGATTTAATTGTATCAGGAAGTGATGATAAAAGTATTAAATTTTGGATGAAAAATAATTAATGGATGTGTTAGTAAACAATTACAGATCATACCAATGAGATATTTGGATTAAGTTTTAATTAATAATCAAATAGAATTGTCTCTTGTGGTGGTGATAAGTTGATATTAATAATGGAAGAATAAGGATAAAATAAATAATGGGTTGTAATATAAAAGATTACAGTTGAATAGTATGGATTTCGAGTATGCTTTATTGATAATAATATGTTCGCATTATCAAACGTGACAAAGAATAGATATCTATTTTTGAGATGAACAGTATAAATCAATAGTTTACGAAGACTAGAAATATTAATGTAAAATGTGGATCAGATAATTATTATTTTTTATTTCCTTAATAATATATAAATTCAAAATCTATCCTTGTGAGTAAGAATGGCGAATATGTGAATTTGATAAGGAAAACATTAAATGGAGAGTTTGTAACTCAATAATCTATTCATTTTAATACATTTGAGCTATATGGAGGAATGAGTGATGATGGACAGTATTTGATCACTTGGGATAGAAATTCATATTAAATACAAATCAGAAAACATCAAGAATAATGAGAATTATTAAATTTAATTTATTTTTCTTAAAACAAAATTAATTAGATTTCTTTTTTAATTATCTGGCATTAACAATCGAATTGTAAAATGTATAAGTTTTTAATATTTTGATAGTTAAGCTAATTGTTTTATGAAAATATTTTAGTTGCTAAAGAGATGAAAATTTGAAAATTCTAGTAATTATCAAACAATGGTGAAATTTTTCCTTAAAAAAATTAATCGAGAGGCTAAAATATCCAGAAATAAGATTATCCTAAAAAATGATAAATATAAAGATATTTTAAAAAAGAACAGAAACTTAATTTTTCTCTATTATAAAAATTTATTAATTTTGGAGTTCCAACTAATTCATATTTGGTAAAATGAATTATATTTTACTAAATTGTGTTTGACATTTCAACATGTCTCAAGATGCAATTGATTTTGGATTTAATTATTAACTTTAACTAATAAACAAATGACTAAAATAATCAAAAATGTGAGACTTGTTTTTCTGTCAAGTTGGCTCAAATATATTATTCTTTAAAACCTCCTTCTTCATTATTCTGTATCTTTCCAATGTCATTCTTATAATTTGACATGAATCTCTTTGTATTCTCTTCATTTTCTTATTTCTTTTATTCAGAATCTTCCAAATAGAATCGCCAAATCTCACATCATACCATTGCAAATCACCCTAATAGCTCGGGTCATCTGTCCAGTTTCGACATTTGTCACAAAATGTTGTATTTCTCGTTAACATAGGCAATTATTAGTTAATTCTATGATTATAGGATATATAGACACACTCTATCATTTAGTTATAAATTTAAACTGTAGAATTCTAATCTCTCCACTATTATGAAATCTGAGCAACTTTTTATCACTTTTTTATGCGAAATGATAGCAATACCATCAGAGCCTAGCACTATAACCACAAAAAAGATCAGTTAATTTTCTTCTCTTTTTATTTCAGCATTTATATCTATTTTGAATTTTTCTTTAAAATTTTTCGCATTAGCTTCAAAATAAATATACTTTAGTTCAGGATTCAGGTATTGATTATAGATGAACTTCATTTTATTTTTAACTTATGTATCATCTATAAAAACTATATATGAGTTTTCATGGTTCTTGCCCTATTAAGCCAAAATCTATTATTCGATCATAATGACAGGTTTATAAATTCTCAATCTTATCTGATTTTAAAACTCTTAATGAGTCTTTCAAATATAATCTTTGTCTCAATTTTTGAAAAATCCCACTCAATCAAGATAAGTTGATATCTTTATTATCTCCCTCAATCTAATTGCCAAAACATTCAAAAAATTTTTTCGAATTACAGTGTATTTCTCTAGTTTCCTATCACTAATAAAATTAATGTTAGGTTTTTTGGTATTTAATGATAATCCTCTTACATTAAAAAAAAAAAAATTTCTGTTCCCATAATTTTGAGTCAAACAGCTTCTTCAACAAACATCCGTTTTTGAATTTACGAGTCACAAAAAACCTCACTTCAATGAAGTTGATAAGATTAATCGAAATAGACTTATTATATCCAACCATATCTTCTTCCAACAATTAATATTATTTGAAATTAATCCTCAGATATCAATATTGTATATATGATAGTTTAGAAAGTTTAGCTATGCTTTTATCCATTCTCTTTTAAAGTTTTATACAAAATCTTTAATTTAAATTGAAATTAATAATTTATCTACATAGAATTTTCTAATAGTACTCTTCAGAAGTTACTTTATTCTCAACTTTTCACATAATTTCATCCTCCACATTAAAATAATAATCATAAATTTAGAATAAGCTTTTTAAATGGTTTAAAATTGATTTTTCTTAGGGACGGTTCAAACAATTCATCCAGATAAATCAAACAATAACAAGATATACCAAATTTGAGTCGCTCTTCTTCTAATCAAAAATTCTAAACAAATCTACCAGTTTTACTGAAGACTAGATGGCCTCATTAATTCAGCATCTTACACTATTCTCACAAATTATTAATATTATAAATTTTACACATAGAATTCTATATTCCTCAAACCATTCTAGTTATTTTGAGGATTCCTAATTTATTTTTGTTACTTTGATATCAATAGCATGATAGTTATATTTTATTAGTACAGAGATGCAAACTTAAATCTTATAATTTTTAAATTGAATTTTTACAGATAAGAATTTCCATCTTTAGGAAGATATTTGGTTTCAAGTTTATCCATCATTATATTATTTATTCAGGAATAAATCGAATTTCATTGTGGAAGAGTTTTTAGCCACAACTTCTACTGATCTCAGAATCTTGAAATCAAAATTTTCTCAAAATATATCACAGTGACCTAATTATTAGGATATAATTATTTATCGATTTCTTCCTAATAACTGTCCTTTAATAGTACTTCCAATTATCTCAGCTTAAGTTTTCATAAATACATTACTTTTTATAAGTCATATTATATGGTTTACTAACCAATATTTTAATTCATCTTGGTTGTAACCTCTATGTTTCTTTAGTTTAGAATTTAATATGAATAAACTTTCAGGTTTTCTTTTCCCTGTCTCTCATCAATCATATTCTCAATTGAATTTTTAAGTACAAATTTATTAAATTTTTCATTAAATATTTAAAAATGAATTACATAAGTATTCCTAATAGCGAGAGTCTTTGTATGCAGGTGATTATTGAAGCCAACTATCAATTGTATATCTAGTAAAAACTTTTTAACAATCTGACACCTTTTCATGAAGCACATCTTATCAGCACATCCAAGTAATAGAAATTTGGAAGGTATTTTCGCCTTAACTGGCACTTTTTACATCTCCTCTTTTCCTATTTGTATTACTCCCTAGCAAAATTCGCAAGGCTTGCCAGTTTTCATTAGCCTCATCAAATTGTTACTTCAATATCTGTAATTGCATTAAATTTTATACAACTTACTCATAACCTTTTCATACTTTTAATTTTACTAAGTTAATTATTTGCTCGCAAGATGAACATTGAGGCTTAGTTTACTCCAAATTGATTCAATTTGATCTCTTGAGACAGATATTGACAGGTTCAGGGTTTTTTTAATTGAAATCCTCCATAGTTAGATTCATAATTAGTTCATATGCCTAATTGGCAAAAATCTAGCCATAGGGGAGGGCTGCCCAGCTATGTAAGTTATAACCCTTTCAACTCCCTTGAAATGTTGCCTCAAACTTCCTTTGCTATCGACCTCCACTCCTAATTATTTGAAATTTTTAACTTCCTTCATACACATTATATCTCATCCTTTCTTCACCACATGAGCAGTTATTCTAGCATATCTTTAGTTCTTCTCCTCCTTCTAATTTATCTTCCAATTATTAGAATACTAAGCTGAGTATAGAGTTTTTGAAGCACAATATTAAAATAAACGCCAAACAAAATAGGTGCAAGTAAAGAATCTTAAAATTAATCCATCTCTGAAGTAGACCTTTTATTTTCACTCACCAGCATAAATGTAAATTTTTTTTGTTTATAAATCATTCCAGAGCATTAAGTTCATTTTCATCAAACTTTTATAATTTCTCAAATGTTCAAAATCACTTCTCCAAAAGTACATAATATTGTTTTGATCAATTACATCTGTTATCACCGTCAAGCCCAGATTTGTTCTAGAACAGGTTTACTTCATTCAGGTTAAACATCTTTATCTCAGCCATTAAAAGAGGAAAAATTAAATCCTCATACATAACCAAAAGAGTATTAACTTGAGTTTTTTGAACATGATCAGCTAAAGTTAAATCTAAAATCTTAGCCTTGACAATAAAATGTTTTTTCAATATTAACTTTGATTTTGTTTTATTTTTTTCCTTTAGTTTTTATTTGCTTATTTCCTTTTTTTGGATTATCTACTGTTTCACTAGATTTTTAACATTTTTACTATTAATTATTATTATCCCTTAATTCTATTTACATATTTCTTTATTTTCTTTAAATATTTAAATGCTTTTGAATGTGCTCCTAATCTTTTTTGATGTTTATTAATTGATAAATATATAATTATCTGTTAATTTAATTTTTCTACTAGATACATTAAATTAATATCAGAGTATTGAAAAATGAATAGCATAAAAAAATAACTTTCATTTTTGGAAAAATACAATACATAACGATTTATAATTGTGCATGTATGAATGGAATGTGAGAAAATGAAGAAAGGATTTGTTAGATAAGAGATTTTGAAAAAAAAACTATGAAAATATTAATTAATGTTATTTACATCTTGCGAAGGAGCACATAAATTGGATATTTCACGAATCTATATAATTTTAGTATTCTTGCTGGATAGCTTTCAAGATTTTTCCTAAGCTCCCTTTTACTTTTTTAGCTACTGTAGTAATTTTATTCTTAATATTATCCAACTTATTCTTTTCTTGATTCTATGTGCTAAGATAGTTTTGATTTCTCGAACAATTTTCTTTTAATCTTAAAGTAATGTTTAAGCACCTTCCTTCTCTTTTCAGTACTCATTTTTGATCTCATTAGAGATAATGCACTCTAGTCTGGTTATTTGAAGTTAAACAGTTTCTAATTCAATTTCCTTATTTTTTTTAATTAGGTGAAAGATTGGCAGAAGTGATGTCCAAATTGACAAAGGAATTTTTCAAGATAATTGATAAATTTATACATTTTAATAAAGAGTCTTTAAATTGTATTATATCTAAAAGCTAAGATTATTCTAGTAATTAGAAATGTACGGAAACTCGATATAATGTTATAATATTGATAATTAATTATTTTAAATCAAAAGTTTAATTATATTTAAATTGTGAGTTAGTTGACAAACATCTTTTTACCATATTTTATGTTTTTCCTAGCGTTGGTTTTTATAAATAAAATTTCTCTTGTTTTTTTTGGGGATCGAAAACTGGTGTTTTAAAAAACAATAAAACAAGAAGAAGAAAAGTAAAATGACTGTTATTGGTGTTCTAATGCTTGTATAAACTATTATGATGCTGCAGTTCAATTAATATCTAATGGACACATTCATTATGTCAATGTTGGAAGGATTTTGTATGTCTCTAAGTAGTATTGGATGTCAACTTCTTGATTGTTCACAGTTGACAAAGTCGAGAACTCTACTATTTTTCCTATAAAATGTTTTTGGGGTGGTTTGACCTCTTAAACTATTGGTGATTGTAGCAAGTACTCTGATAATTCTTTGTGCTTAAATACACTTAATATCAATATTTTTAATCTTACTACATTATGATAAAATAGAGTTAATGATACTTAATGTTTAGAAAAAACATGTTCAAGAATGCGATGATGGAAATTATAGATACCTATTCTTGCTACCAGAAGTGCCTTAATTGACTATGTTTACTATGTGTCTTAATGTTTGTGGAGATGGTTTACTGACCAAAGAAATAGGATAATGTAACGATGGAAATATATAGAATAATGATGGATGCAGTGACACTTGTGAAGTTGAAGATAATTGGAAATGCTAATAAGAAAATAATATTAGTGTGTGTAAATATAAGTTTCGACCAGTGATTATCCTTACTAAACTCACAAAATCAAACTCAGATTATCAAGAATTCCAATTATCCTTTTCTGAACAAATGCGTTTGTATGTAAATAATATTATTAAAGAAAAATTTCTTCAGATGATTGTTGTTACCATTGAAATTGAATATGATACGAATAAGATGTTGAAATCTAACCCATTATTTCTATCTCCCCTAAATTGGCTGATTTACTTTATAAGATAGTAGTCTATTTTAAAAGTAATATTTCAAATCCGGTGTTAAAAGTAACAATCAGATGTGAGAATACTGTAAATATTTATGACAATACTTTACTCTCTAATGAAAAATCTCCTAATAAAATGTCAAAGGATCATCAATCCCTTATTTCTAGTTAAATTGTCTTTTATATCATCTTGGTTATGGGTATTTCTTGTATAATTCTTGATACTTATTAAATATTAAAATCGGCAAGCTACTTTTTACAACTATTAATAAAAATTCATTCTATGTAGTTATAAGATCATTGATATATAATTCGAATAATTTTACATCTTTAGTGATGTAATTATTTAAGCTTAACAATTCCTATTCAATTTATTCAGGCAGAAACAACAACCTACTTTCTTAATTATTCAATAATCTTATTAGTATTTTTGATAATGTCATTAGAAATCACGTTATTATTTAATTATGCTTTATAAAAAATTTAAGATTTCAGAAGTTAATTAACTAGGTTAAGCTAATGATTCTTAAGTATTTCAGGATTATACTAATTTTTTTCGATATCTCTCATTGGTAAAACATCAGATAATAATTTTAATTAGAAACTTAATTTTTTTAGCTTGATTATTGATTATTTTTTGATTCATTTTTTTAATTCCACTAATAGTATTATTAAAATTATTATTTTCTATTAATTCTCCAATTACATCATCAAAAAATTGTTTAAATGTATGAAAAGTCGCAAATTATTTTTTAACTTTTCAGAATATTCAGTGATTCTGAAGGTAATTTAATTATAATATTTTTAGATTATTATGGATTTGCATGTAATCCTCTTTTAAAAAGGATTCGGTATTTTAATATATCTATTAATGGCGAAATGGACTAAGACTGCATATTTAATAGATTTCTTGACAATGCAAGCGCTGAAGTTTTTCTAATATCTTCCATTTTTTTCCAAACCATCATTACTTTCATCTAATTAGGTTGGTTCAAAATCAAATTTCAGGGATTTAATTGGGTCATTGCATAATTCTTGATACTAAGGATCCTTTTAATAGTAATTAGTCAGATTGATTTTTTAGAACACAAGAAATTAATGTGGCTAAAGAATATTTTTTCTAGATAAAAGTCTTGGAATGTTCGAAATGATCCCTACTCTATTAATATATATGATTTCCTTTCAATTATATAGAATTTAAAACGCTAAACCCTAAAATAATTGGAAAATAACAAAATTTTCATCCTTAAAAGTTTCATAACCGAAAATTATATTATTATCATTTTCCACATTTTAGGTAATAAAACAAAAGGTTTATGCTTATTTAAATTATCTAGAAATTAAAAGTAATTATTTGAAAACTTAATCCAATTAAAATTTCATTTATATTAATTTTGTAGATTTCTTTATTTTTTGCCAAAAAAAAATCTTAATATTTCAATTATGATTTATTAATGTCAGAATGAATTTGAAATCGCAACAAACAAAGCAGAAAGTTGAAATTAAAGTTTATTTAAAGAAACTTTTTAATTTTGTTCCATGTTCAAGGAAATGGAATTGGACTTTGATTATTTTAGACATTTTAGAAAGAGGGATTTTAAATAAATAAAAGAAACTTCATGTTAGTGTATACACTAATGTTGATATCATTGGCAAAAAATGAAACAAACAGAGATATTTTTATTTATTGCTCGAACATTAATAATAAAATAACTTTAACAATTATTGTTTAAATCAAGCAGGTTCGTATAATTAGTGTAAAGATTGGTTTAAATCTAAGATTTTAACATTTTCATACACTTATTACTTGTAGAAGATAAATGTTTTGCCTGGCATCATTAAATCATTTATTCTTCTAATTTTATGAGAATAATCACAAAATATTATA